TTTCCGGAATTCGGTAATGTTTTGAGAAGATTTAGGGAATTTTGGGATTTTTCCGGAATTCGGTAATGTTTTGAGAAGATTTAGGGAATTTTGTGGGATTTTTTCTGGAATATTCTCAGGCTTCTCAAGAATTTTGTATGAATTTAAGGAGATTTTGTGGGATGGTGCTGGAATTTTTGTGGGATATTGAGAAGATTTAGGGAATTTTGTGGGATTTTTCTGGAATTGTGCAGGGCTTTTCAAAAATTTTGAGGGATTTTTCTTGAATTTTGTAGAAATTTATGGAGATTTTGTGGAATGTTTCTGGAACTTTGTTGGATATTGAGGAGATTTACGGAATTTTGTGGGATTTTTCTTACATTTTGTGGACATTTGTGGTGATCTTGTGGTATGTTTCAGGAATTTGGTAGGGTTTTGAGAAGATTGAGGGAATTCTGTGGGATTTTTCTGGAATTTTGTGGTTCTTTTCAAGAAGTTAGTGGGATATTGAGGAGATTTTGTGGGATGTTATGGAATTTTGGGGGATTTTTTGGGGTATTTTTCAGGAATTTTGCGGGGCTTTTCAAGAATTTTGTGGGATGTTGAGGAGATTTCGTACGATGTTTCGGGAATTCGGTAATGTTTTGAGAAGATTTAGGGAATTTTGAGGGATTTTTCTTGAATTTTGTGGACATTTGGGGACATTTTGTGGAATGGTGCTGGAATTTGGTAGGGTTTTGAGAAAATTGAGAGACATTTGTGGGATTTTTCTCGTATTTTGTGGAATTTCTCTAGAATTTTGTGGGATATTGAGGAGATTTTGTGGAAGTTACTGGAATTTTGTGGGATTTGGAGGAGACTTGAAGAATTTTGAGGAATTTTTCTTAGATTTTGTGGGAATTGGAGATTTCATAGGATGTTTCTGGAATTTGGTGGCATATTAAAGAGATTTGGGGAATTTTGAGGGATTTTTCTGAAATTTTGTGGACATTAGTGGAGATTTTGTGGGATGTTGACGGAATTTGGTTGGGTTTTGAGAAAATTTAGGGAATGTTGTGGGATTTTTCTTGAATTTAGTGGAATTTCTCTGGAATTTTGTGGGATATTGAGGACACTTGAAGGATTTTGAGGAATTTTTCTTGAATTTTGTGGTAATCTGTGGTAACTTTGTGAGATGTTCCAGTAATTTCTTTGGTTTTTGAGAAGATTTCGGGAATTTTGTGGGATTTTTTCTGGAATATTCTCAGGCTTTTCAAGAATTTTTTGGGTGTTTGAGGAGGAGATTTTTGTGGGATCTTTCTGGATTTTTGTGGGATTTTTGTGGGATTTGGAGGAGACTTGAAGAATTTTGTGGATTTTTTCCTAAGATTTTGTGGGAATTGGAGATTTGATAGGATGTTTCTGGAATTTGGTAGGGTTTTGAGAAGATTTGGGGAATTTTGTGGGATTTTTCTTGAATGTTGAGGATTTCTCTTGAATTTGGTGTGATTTAGAGGAGACTTGACGACTTTTGTGGGATTTTTCTTGAATTTAGTGGAGATGTGTGGACATTTTGTGGGATGTTTCTGGAATTTTGTGGGGCTTTTCAAGAATTTTGAGGGATTTTGAGGAAATTAAGGTATTTTGTGGGATGTTTCCAGAATTTGGTAGGGTTTTGAGAAGACTGAGGGAATTTTGTGGGATTTTTCTTGAATTTTGTGGACATTTGTGGACATTCTGTGCGATGATGCTGGAATTTCTTCGGGTTTTGAGAAGATTTAGGGAATTTTGTGGGATTTTTTCTGGCATATTCTAAGGCTTTTCAAGAATTTTGTGGTAATTTAAGGAGATTTTGTGGGATGTTTCTAGAATTTGGAGAAATTTTTCTGAAATTTTGTGGGAATTTTGTAGACGTTTTGTGGGATGGTGCAGGAATTTTGTGGGATATTGAGGACACTTGAATGATTTTGAGGAATTTTTCTTGAATTTTGTGGAAATCTGTGGTGGTTTTGTGGGATGTTCCAGTAATTTCTTTGGTTTTTGAGAAGATTTCAGGAATTTTGTGGGATTTTTTCTGGAATAGTCTCAGGCTTTTCAAGAATTTTGTGGGAGTTTGAGGAGGAGATTTTTGTGGGATCTTTCTGGATTTTTGTGGGATTTTAGTGGGATTTGGAGGAGACTTGAAGAATTTGGAGGAATTTTTCTTAGATTTTGTGGGAATTGGAGATTTGGTAGGATGTTTCTGGAATTTGGTAGGGTTTTGAGAAGATTTGGGGAATGTTGTGGGATTTTCCTTGAATGTTGAGGATTTCTCTTGAATTTGGTGTGATTTGGAGGAGACTTGACGACTTTTGTGGGATTTTTCTTGAATTTTGTGGAGATTTGTAGACATTTTGTGGGATTTTTCTTTAATTTTGTGAGATATTGAGGAGATTTTGGGGGATGTTTCTAAAATTTTGTGGGATTTTTTGAGATTTTTTGGAATTTTGCTTAGATTTTGTGGGAATTGGAGATTTTTTCAGATGTTTCAGCAATTGGATCAAGTTTTCAGAAGATTTAGGGAATTTTGCGGGATTTTTCTTGAATTTTGTGGAAATTTGTGGAGATTTTGTTGGATGTTGCTGGAATTTTGTGGGATAGTGATGAGATTTAGTGAAGTTTGTGGGATTTTTCTGGAATTTTTGTGGAAATTTGTATTGATTTTGTGGGAGGTTTCGGAAATTTTGTGGGATATTGAGGTGATTTAGGGAACTTTGAGGGATTTTTCGGGAATTTTCTGGGGCTTTTCAAGAATTTTGTGGGATTTTTCTTGAATTTGGTGGACATTTTTGAACATTTTGTGGGATGTTGTGTGGAAGCTAAGGCCCAGCGCTCAGAAGATGTCGGGATGTGACAGGAAGATAGTAACCCCCCCTCCTCCCCACAGTATGGTAAGGCCCCCTGCAATTAGCCAATAGCACCTGGCTGTGATGAAAGCAGATAGGAGTAACACAGTGACCCTCGGTTATAAAATGTCAAATTCTCCAGCAATAAACGCCATTCTGGCAACCTTCACATTGGTGTCATGGGTATTGGACCAAGTGGCCAAAGATGCTGGCCACCATGCTGTTCCTTGAACCAGGGTGTCTGCCTTGCTTAAAAGATGACAAATATCCCACAAAATACCAGAAACATCGCACAAAATCTACACAAATTTCCTCAAAATTCAAGAAAAATCCCACAAAATTCCCCAAATCTTCTCAAAACCCTACCAAATTCCTGAAACATCCAACAAAATCTCCAATTCCCACAAAATCTAAGAAAAATTCCTCAAAATTCTTCAAGTCTCTTCAAAATCCACAAAAATCACACAAAAACAAAATTCCAATATAATCCCAAAAAATTTACTAAATCACCTCAATATCCCACGAAATTTCAGAAACATCCAACAAAATCTCAACAAATTTCCGCAAAATTCAAGAAAAATCTCACAAAATTCCCTAAATCTTCTCAAAACCCAACCAAATTCCTGCAACATCTCACAAAATCTCCACCAATTCCCACAAAATCTAAGAAAAATTCCTCAAAATTCTTTAAGTCTCTTCCAAATCCCAAAATCTCCACCAATTCCCACAAAATCTAAGAAAAATTCCTCAAAATTCTTTAAGTCTCTTCCAAATCCCTCAAAATTCAAGAGAAATCCTCAAAATTCCAGGAAAATGCCACAAAATTCCCTAAATCTCCTCAATATCCCACAAAATTCCACAAACATCCCACAAAATGTCCAAAAATTTCCACAAAATTCAAAAAAAGCCCCACACAATTCCAGAAAAATCTCACAAAATTTTTTACATTTTCTCAAAACTTTACAAAAGTCAGGAAACGTCCCACAAAGTCTTTACAAATTAACACAAAATCTAAGAAAAATACCTCAAAATTCTTCAACTCTTTTCAAAATCCCATAAAATTCCAGAAAATTCCAAAACATTCCATAAAATTCCACAAAATTCCAGCAAAATCCCAAAAATTACAGAGAAATAAAAAAATATCCCTAAATCTTTTCAAAACCCTTCAAAGTTCCAGCAACATCCCACCAAATCTCCACAAATGTCCACAAAATTCAAGAAAAATCCCACAAAATTCCCCAAATCTTCTTAAAACCCTACCAAATTCCAGAAACATGCCACAAAATCTCCACCAATTCCCACAAAATCTAAGAAAAATCCTTCAAAATTCTTCAAGTCTCCTCAAAATCCCACAAAAATCCCATGAATTTCCAGAAACATCCCAAAAAATCTCTTCAATATCCCATAAAATTCTTGAAAAGCCCCTCAAAATTCCAGAAAAATCCCACAAAATTCCATAAATCTCCTCAATACCCAAAAAAATTTTTGAAAAACCCCTCAAAATTCCAGAAAAAAAATCACACAAAATTCCCTAAATCTTCTCAAAACCCTACCAAATTCTCGAAATATCCCACAAAATGTCCACAAATGTCCACAAAATTCAAGAGAAATCCACAAAATTCCAGTAAAATCTGATGAAATTTTTAGCGTTCAGGAACACACATCATCACAGGATGATTATATGAAGGTGCTTTATTGAAGAGCTCTGGGTGTCAGGGGTACACAGACCCAAATCTGACCCATCTTGCTTTTGAGCTGAACATGTTTTATACTCTATCGTTATACAACTTACATGTTAATTATTAAACTTACACTGTTCTATTGTATGCATTGTTTTTACCCAAGCATGGATTTCTCGTGTTCCCCCTTCAAACCCCCTAACATTGTTCCTCATGTTCTTTAAACAATAATTATATCTAATCACATCTAACAATTGTATCATTTATCATATATTGATTACACAGGTGCAGTTTGACCTGATCTTTAGCAAGCACAAGGCCTAACATTTCCCAGGGCCTACTTTTCCCATGTCTTTCCAAACCCAACTTTCTTTCTATGTCCCCAAATTTTCTAAGATTTTAAGACCTTTTACTATCAGTTCCATCTGATCCAGCATGCCTTTTCCTTTCTCCAGAGAACGATCAAAAAGCTCTGCTGAAGGCGGTGTTTCCCAGAGGAAGCAGTGGCCCATGGGCAGCCTCTGTTGCAGGAAGGGAGGCCATGCCAGGCACAGTCCCAGGAGGTAATTGCTGTGCCTCTGGGCCTGAGCCCTGATGAGGCTTGAGCTGCCATCTCTGCTGCTTGGCTGTGCCTGCCCTTCAGGGATGTTGCACAGAGCATGGAAAGGGTGTTGAGAGTAACCAGAGCCAGCCCAGAGCTCCCCAGGCCCCTCTGCAGCTTTGGCCATGCCCATTGACATCTGGCTCCCACAGCCTTACCCGACCTCCTCGCAGTGCCCAGTTCCCTAAGGCAGAAGGGGATCTCAGCACACCATGGAATGGTTCTGATGTGTGCTGCCTTCTAGATTGGAACCGTGACATGGATTATCTGGAAGTGCTGGTTAATGGTGGTTTGAAGTCCTTGCCAGATGCTGGAGGCAAGTTCTCAATGTCCCTTTCCACACAGAATAATCAGTGTCAATGTGGCCAGAGCACACTCACGTTCCATTTCCCTTAAGAGTCTGAAGGTTGATGGATTCTGGAAACCTCACCCTGCTCCCTTCTGGAGCCCTGAGTGATCCCACAGCATTGCTGTCAGTGGGAGGAGGGAGCATTTAGTTGTCAATTTTCTTCCTGTGTGCAATGCCAGTCTCTCCTTCTGTGTGCTCTGTGCAGCCACGGAGAGGAGCAGAGAGGGACGGGGCTGGACCCAGGGCTGTGTCCCGGGGCTGTGCTTGGTGTGGCTCCTTTGCCAGCCCCAAGGAGCCTGAGCTGCTCCCACTGCTGCTGCCAAGCCCTGGCCCTGCCTGGGGCTCAGTTCAGAGCTGCTGGCAGCTCCAGGGAGTCCTTTCTCTCCTGACTGCCATGCAAGAAGCACCATTGTGGGCCCACTGTAGGCACGAGGTCTCCCTGCTCCTGCTCCAGTTTGCAAGGCAGAGATGAGGGAGTGCCTTGGAGGGCACCAGTCACCCAGGTGCACTCACTGCCACTCCGGCCTGAAGGAGAATCTTCAGCCGTGTCACGGGAGCTGTTCTGTCCTGCCTTTCTTTGCAGATGAACTTGATGATGAAGATGATCTGGATTCCTAGTCCATATCAGTTACTGAGCCTGATGATGAGGAAGATGATGAGGGTAGGTCAAAGCCTTTCCTTCTGGGAGACCAATGGAGGAATTCAAACATCTGGACATAATCCTGAGTGATCTGGAGAGATGCCGTGGTGGGTCCATGTCCCTCAGCCTTCTCCTGAGACTCAGCAGCCGGGGGCTTTCTCTGCACATCTGGACAGGCCGTGCCCAGCATGGCGGGAAGGGATCCATGGCAGCCTCGCTGCTCCACTGCTGCTTTCCTGGCCTGCAAGGCTGTTTCCCAGCCAGGCCTGGCTGCAGCTTCTCCCCAGCCTCTGCAGGAAGACATTTGGCATCAACTGACAGGGAGCCCAAACGGCAGCACAGGCCATGAACACTCTGAGATCCCCTGCAATTTCCCGGTCTCAGGGTAGATCAGGTGTAGGGGCTGTTTGCAGGACGGAGGGCCGTGGAGCAGCTTCAAAAGCCTGGGCATTTTCCTGATCCTTATCCATGTCTTTGCAAAGTATTGCCTGGAGAAGACCAGCACAGCACAGAGAAATTGTGCCGTGCAAGCTCAGGGGCTTGAGCAGTCTTGTGCCAAGGGGTGGCAAGGTGCCTGCAGGCCCCAGCTCTGGGGGAAACAGAGAATGTCCTGGCCGTATCCAGCGTGCTGCCAGCTCAGCAGTGGAGCACAGCACAGGCTCACGCTGCCCATTGCTCCCACAGATGCAGCCGGCACCACAAGACATGCTCAGAATATCTGGGAGAGCATGAGAAGAGTTTTCTACCAGGGAACACATGGTTTGATTAAGTTAATGGCCATTGTGGCTGGTAGAGCACTTTTCCTGATGATGTGCTATGCAGGAATCTGGTATTGCTGGAAGAGAAAAGGGTGAGTGTTTTGCTGATCTCGGCCTCAAACAGCTTCTTGAAAGGCTGGTCATAGTCGGGAAACATTCCCAGTGAGGCTGCTGTGCACTTCTGGCTAGTTCTTGGTTGCCCAAATAACTGTGCTGAGAGTTCTGCTGCTGCCCAGGGCTTTCATTGGCCTCTTAATTGCTGGGCCTTGTCCTGGGGAGCCCGCTGGGGCTGCAGCCAGTGCTGGCTCCCACTGAGGCTGCCTGGCCAAGAGCAGCCCCAGGAGCAGCGGGCAGAGGCAAAGCAAGGTGGGCAGGAGAAAGAGTGGGGACGAGATTGCCCTTGAAAGGCAGAGGTGCTCTGGGGCCCGCTCCTGACCAGGGACCCTGCCCAGAGCCATCCCCTGCTCACCGGGGCCTTGAGGGGCAGCTGTCCAGCTGGGCCAAGCTGTGCCAGCAGCTCCAGCCGTGCTGGGGAGCCTTGGCCGCTCTGGGCCCTGCTGTGCAGGAGGGTCCCTGCGTGCCAGCGGCAGCTGGGGGCCTCAGCCACCTCCTCTCTCCACAGGAGCACCTCTGCAGCTTCAGAAGAGCAGCCAAAGTCTTTAATCACTTGAGAAGCTGACCTGTCATCCCCGCTCTTCACCTCTGTCTCCCTCTGCTCTGCTGTGGCTCCATCCCTGTCTTGAGGGCATCCCAAGACCCACACCTGCAAAGTGAGAGCCTCTACCCCTGAGCCCCCTGGCCCTGGTCCCTGGCCAGGACTGAAATTGGGCAGCCCCTGTCCACCAGAGCAGGGCTTGGCCCATGGTTTTTGTTCCAATAAAGAGATGGAGCTTTCACCTCAGTGTCTGGCTGGTACCAGAATGGGCTTTACCTCAGTGTCTGGCTGGTACCACCAGCAAAGCCCACATGGCACCAGCCCCAGCTGAGCTCCATGTCCAGGAGCAGCGGGCTGTGCCCACGGTGTGGGCAGGCAGGAGCCAGGCAGGGGCTGCCATGACCAGTGGTGGGGCCACGAGGGGCTGGGGGAGCCCATGCTGAGCGTCCCTGGGCTGTGAGGGCACATTTCCTTCAGTGGCATCACCTGGGCCTGCACCTCATGAGGCACCCAGGGCTAATTTGGGCTCTCTGCTAAGGTGTGCAGGGATCCCCCATGAGGTGTGCAGTGGGGTTAAATTGAGAGGGTTTTTTCCTCTTCTCAGCACAGCAAAGGGGACACTCTTGGCTGAGGTTTTGCAGAGCTGGGAGGAAGCCTCTTGCGAGCCCTTGGGCCTGGCCTGTGGGCACAGCGGGCAGGCAGAGCCCATCCCTTGAGGCCAGTCCGGGCTGCTCGGGCCGGGCCGGGCCGGGCCAGGTGAGGGCCCCGGCAGGGAAGGGCCGTGGCCGTGGGCTCTGATGAGGCTGCCGAGCTTCACCCTGGCCCTGTGCTGCAGCCAAACACACATTTACAGCCATGGCCATTCTCTGGGGCACAGGAGGCCCCCGGGGCTGGAACTGAGGCCGTGGCTTCTCACCCTGAAGGGAGGCTGGCTCTGTTGATTCAGAGGGCACAGCTTAGACCCCAGTTACCTTTGTAAACCTGCTGGGGAAGTGTGGAGGGGCAGAGAGTTCCAACCCTTCTCATTGGGAAGTGGGCTGATGCTGTGGGTTTTATTAATTTTTTGCTCTCTAAATTTGTGTCCTGGCAGAGGATTAAGTTTGCTTGCTCTCAGCAAGGCCCTTCTTGGTGCTGTTGTAAATGAAATTAAAATCAGACAACTAGATCTATTGAGTTAACAGCAATTAAATAACAAGGGAAAAAATTATACAATTTAGTGAATTGAATACAAGGACACAATTTAATAAAATAATACTATTTAGTGGATTGAATAGAAATTTGGTGTAAAAGGAAAACAATTCAGTAAAAGAGTACAATTTAGTGAATATCTTCATAAATATATATATATATATGTGTGTGTGTGTGTGTGTGTGTGTGTGTGTGTGAATATAATTTGCCAGTAACTGAGTATGATTAAAGCATAAGCAAAACTGACTGGGGTATGGCCAGGGCTTCTCACCCTGCCTCTCATACCAAAACAAAGTAATTCAAACTAAACTTATATACTGGATGCTTATACATATTCATTAATGTTTCCCCTAAGTCTCCTCCTATTTTGGATTCTTTAATTTTACATCACTATTCTTCATGGCGCAAGCCTCACTTGTTGCTAGGAGGTCTTCAGTCTCCTTTCAGTGGTATTTTGGATGAAGGCTTACACTCATCCTCATTGTCCTCTGGATAACCTTACAGGCTGTGCGTGTGTACTAAGTGTTGTGTTACGTAAGTGAGCATTGTGCTCCACTAATTAGTCTTACACTTCATAATTTTCAGGCCCTATGCCTAAAGTTGTTCCAGCTTTATCCATCTCAAGGTTGATTTTGTCTTGGGACATCAC